AATGCATTCCGAGTGTTTCGCCCGCTGTGATATGACATTTGTTAAGACGCGCTCGGAGTGCAGCGGAGAGGGACGAGCTGCAATGCTCTATCGGGCTTTGCCCCAAAGGTTTCCTGTAGGTGACATATCGATCCGGTTTTTTCTCGCATCCTTGTTTTTTTCTTAAAAAATTCTACCATATTTGTGCAGGCAGTGCAGAGTTCATCAATATACGCCAAACTGAGGTAATTAAGGCCGGTCTGGTAAACGGTGGCATAACAGATCATACCCTTTCTATAAAAAATAATATTGTATACAACAATGCTGCAACAGACACAGGCGACAATCGATGGCTATTGCAAGCTCAAAGCCGCGATCATCGGGTCAGATCACTTTCCAGACTGCTCGCCCGGTACAGGACAATCTGCTCAGAAGTACTGCAGAATGCTGCGGTACTGCAGCTGATCACTGTCCGGTCCGCTCACTAGCCACAGAATGGTTCACTCAGAAGCACTGCAGAGTACCGCAGCAATGCAGCTGATCACTGTCCAGGCCGCTCACTAGCCACAGAATGGTCCACTCAAAAGTACTGCAGCTGTGTGGTAATGGTAGACCAAAACATGGCCGACTGCAGAGAAGTCTTGTGGGTGCCGACAGATCTGCAGACCTGGCTCCGCAGCAGACGTCACGTGACCAGCGCGGCACTGCACGGGGCGACCCTTTCCAAACCAGAGGTCACCGCAGGTCAGAATCGCCCCACGCGTCACGTCTCCCCGCCCGCGCCTCCAGAATGCTACAATGAACTGGGTTCGATAACGCAAGCTTATCGTTAATTGTCCGCCGCTTAGATTCGCCAGAGCTAAATGAGATTTAGAGAAGCCAGTTCAATCTGGCCGGCTCCGCAAGCGGTGATTGGTGTAGCAATTACCATTGAAATGGATCATTAATGCCCGGGTGGTTTGCTGAAATCCCTTGACGGAGTGGGGCTCCAACGCAAGTGCAACTAGGCTCAGTGCAAGTAGAGCAGAGTATGTCGGATTGCGGTCGTAATGCGAGCGGGTAATTTATCGGTTTCATTATGTTCTTACTAGTGCATGTGACCAAGTAGTGACTTTACCCCAAGCCAGCTGGAATACGAATGGACAAACCGGCATTACCCAGGGGAATATATCTGCATTCACAACCTGAAGTTGAGTCTCACGCAAGTAGTGATGGACTTCCCAGGACTCAGCCAGTGCATGCTTTCTGATTTGCGGCCGGTAGTAACTTCATTCCCTTATGAGCCTGGCCCACTCAAATGGGTTTGTCCTAAGTCGTTTTCGTACTGAAACACGCTTTTCAAGCAACGTCTTTAAGTGATGTTGCGCACACTATCATGCAACACCTCCATTAATATGCTTTCCACTTGTCTATTATATTTAGCAGTATTAAACCATCTTAAATGATGTTGGACTAGGTGCACGTACAGTGCACTTTGAACTCCTTTAAGTCCTTTAGCCAGTAGTCGATCTTAGTGTGTGTTGCGTGCTTGCAACATTACAACATTTAACATTCATCAACAATACAACATTTGCGTTACAATCTCCGCGCAGCTCCCGGGGATGTACCCAGCGGAATCAACTGAAATCGAAGTTTTTGTTTACGGAAAGAAGAAAACCATCCTAAACGAAATCTGACAAGCTACACACTCTGTAGAAGAGGAAGATTTTGATTTCATTTGTTTATGCTGGGCACACTCGGTGAGCTCCGCTGAGATTGTAATGCAAATGCTGTAATGTTGATAGGCGTGGCATGTTGTGATGTCACAAGAGTGTAACACACACTGTAGCACTGACTACTGGCTGAATCACTCAGTGGACATTAGGAGCTCAAAGTTTTTGAGTCGAGTTAACGACTTCCAATGTATCGGGAGGTACTGGCAAAACTGGTAAAAGGAGGTGATGGTTATCGAAGGTCGGGAACTCACTATGAGAACTTTGAACTCAGAGTGCCAAAAAAGCAGGGCCTTAGGGTTATTTCTTATATTGACTCAATGTGAATTTAGACAATGTCTTATACTAAGGGTCAAGCTCTGTCGTCGGGTGCTTTCAACTTAAGAGCCTTTGGTATCAACCCACAAAGCTTCATTTTTTTTCTGAGCCAGTTTGGCCCAGATGAGACCACTGTGTTTGGTGTAGGATGAGCAGATGTGCCTCGAGAGGAAGAGTGAGGAGGGAGGGGATAACCAGTTTGGCCCAGATGGGACCACTGTGTTTGGGAGGGGGTAACCAGTTTGGCCCAGATGGGACCACTGTGTTTGGTGTGGGATGAGCAGACGTGCCTCGAGAGGAGGAGTGTGTGTGGGGGGGGGGGGGGATAACCAGGCCACAGGCGTCCCAAGATGGCCTAAGTTGGGCAGAAGTGACGCACTGCTGGAGCCTGAAGAAAAACTAAGGACCTTGGACTAAAAACAACTTGCTTCAAACGGCTCCTTAGGGTTGAATGAACATGAATTAATTTACTTTTCAGAATCTGGATAGCTTTTAGATCTTTGCCCCCCCCCCGTCCCTCTAATCCGCCCTGAACAAGACTCCGTTCTGGATCCGCCTTTGACATTAAGTACTCATATACATATGAAAATAAATGCAAAATTTGCGCGCCTTATCTGATGCCGACTTATCGCCCATTTTTAGACCGAGGCGGTCGATTCGGTGCCATTTTTAGACCGAGGCGGTCGATTCGTTTTAGACCGAGGCGGTCGATTCGGTGCCATTTTTAGACCGAGGCGGTCGATTCGGTGCCATTTTTAGACCGAGGCGGTCGATTCGGTGCCATTTTTAGAGCGAGGCGGTCGATTCAGTGCCATTTTTAGAGCGAGGCGGTCGATTCGGTGCCGTTTGCACCGTATCGACTGGCGTTACCTTCACAAACGACTGGCGTTACCTTCACAAACGAATTGAGCAACTCTTCCAAAAGGCTGTGTCTGATTGAATGCGATTTGGTGGCATTGCATGATATAGGTACAAATCGCACGGAACCCGCCGGAACAGCCTGGACAACGGACGGTGCTGTGTAGAACAGAACGTATACCTCAACACGGCTTAATACGGCGCTCTTTGCTAACCCCTCAACAAGGTATAGCGGCAACTACAAGAACACAACCAGCAGGATGCACAACGCCCGTTCCGACTGTCAGGCCAACAAATGGCAAGGGAAGACCTCAGGTATTGTGCTGCAAAGCGGCGGATGGCCGAGGCCACAATAATTTATCGCAGAAGATTGACCGAAGGCCAAAAATGTCAGGTACAATATGTGGAAGTGCCCTGTTATGGTAGCCTACGGCGCTGACAAAGCTTCCGCAAATGACAGCTTTATCACGTTTGAGATTCAAGCGCAATGTGGTAGAAAGATTGGAGGCTACAGATGACGCCGCAATCCAACAAAATATTCCGGCCGGACATCTTCCTCCTGCTGCAGGACATGTTCAACGAGATACTCCCCCACGGCTAGAGCGGTTAGTCTGCCTTGGAGCGGCTCAAGACGGCAGACTACGCAGCTGTCATCTAGGCTGACGAGATAAGCGATGGGAGGGAGGGGCACAAGAGCGGCCCACATACTCCAGTCGTCAGCCAAGTGGCCTGCGCGCAGATAAGCCGGCAGTTCCTTTGAAGCGCGACCAACGATTAAATAGAAGATACGAATATCTACAATATGGTTTATATCAGTTTGCAACATGAAACTGAAAACAGCACCCTCAAACTGTTTCCTCGCAGCATTAATAACTTTATTAACGAAGCATCAACCGGGAATCCCAAGCAGTCACGAGCAGGACTGATGTGAGTTTTCAACACGTACACCACAAAGCATCACCACGTGTTTCCTTTTTTGTTCTTCGGGTCGTGGGCTGCATACCATATTGAAAATTGCACATATGGACAAATATTTTGGAAGATAAAACTTATCCCTATCTTCAGAGCAGGTGCCACGCGTTTGCTTAAGATGTGGGTCGGTAAAGCTTTTGACGGAGCTAATTTTGCAGTTGCTGACAAAAGCTGTCTACGATTGTACCTGAACAATGCAACACTGACCACCACGATATAGAACCTTACAATAGACTGTCAATAGGACGCGCTTGTACAGCTCATTGCACTGCGGCATTGAGCTTTCTTGCAAGAAAGCTTCTAGTGTTTTAATTTTGCCCACATGACTTGTCAAATTTCAGCTGGAGACGAGTGACTGTAGATAACATAGTTAGGTGTCACATCTAAGCGAGTTTCGCCTGATCTAAGTGTCTTCATCGACCGTTTACTTCTAGCAGTCCTCACCAATTTAGAACAGTCCGCTTGTTATCAATTTACGTCGTGCTAGTTAACTCAACTCCAGACCTACCATGCTCATCATGAGCATGCTACCAAAGCGCGCTGGAAAATAGATGTGTGTTGTATCACACAGAACGCCCTCAAACACAACAGTGACTCGGCTCTTTGAAGACAGAACTGAATGCCACGGATTTCATAGCGTAACGGCAGGTAGTCATCATCCATGCCGTTGACTTAGCCATCTTTTAAAGCCCTCCCGTGTAAGCGTCACCATACATTACTCGGAAAACACCGCTGAGGCTACTGCAATTAACATAACTTACACAAAGTGCACCGCTGGGGTCAACGTAATCATGAACCCTGGGGGATCATGATGTAGCTTAGATGCGATTTGCCGGACCAGTCGACGAAGAGCTGACTGAGTTTGGCTGCTCCACGGTCTCCTTTTCGACTAGAGCAGCCCCCACCCTTACCACCATTCCCCCAACCCCACCCCACACTCTCCCCCTATCTTTACCAGCTCTCGATCAGGACTGGTAACTCCAGGGTGGGCGCTTTGCCTTCTGGACATGGTCAAGTTATCCAATCCAAACAGCTACTGCGCTGGACCGTTTTCCAGCGGTCTGCGCAAAGGACACAACTCTCACATGGGCCCACACACGTGCGCATGGACGCAACGCTGCCCATCCGGTGCAGTATGGCGGCCCGGGCTGGCGGACCTACCGTGTCGTGCGGTGCAGTGTGGCTGGTCAGGCGGGCGCGGGCGGCGTCTGTCCCCGGGCTGAGTCGGACGGGCACTGGCGCCACCACAGCCGCTCGAGTACGCGTGGGGGTCGCGTTCGCAGCCGACGGCGCCGCCCCCTCCCCGGCTTCGATCGCGACGACGTTGGTCAGCGCCCTCTGCCGCCCCGGATCCGTCGGGACGCGCGGGCCGGTCTGAGCCGCTCATATGGAGCGGAACATTGCCCCCAGCTGGGTGATGTACGTCCGTCCCTCAGTAAGGCACATTATTTGAGTTTGGGCGTCTTTGATGGCCGACGGTCTGTGATACAAACCGCTGTCTTTGCTCAGCGCTGAAAACCACGCCAACTGAACAACAAAGCTGGGAACACAAATCGCTGATATTCCGTACGGGGTTGAGGTGAACCCGGCATCTGGGCAGATAACTTCAAACAAATTGCGCTATCATATCCTCTTATTAATTGTTTCACTCATATTTCACAGACAACGTTGAACTAGGGCCAACGAAACGGCAGTCGTTAAGGTTAAGGGCCATTTGCCGTGTACACATGCAGATGGCAAAACCACAACGCCAAACGGCGACAGCTTGAGCACACAGTATCCCAGTCTGTTGCCTCCACCAAGCTCAGCCTTGCGAGAAACACGGAGCCGATCTAGCAACATGACGGTTGATGGGGACACTGTGCATTAGGAGATACGAAAGACCGTTCCGCTGCTGTTGGATGCACATGAATGTTATGCGTGAAATGTGTCCAGAGATGGATTTATAGTAACAAACGATAGCGGAACCTTCGTCTCTATTCTTGTGTCTCGTCTTGGGGCAGTGAGCGTGAGAGCATTAAGTGGTTTACTGGTCTTGCAAATACCCATCTACAAGTGTCTGATGAACCGAGAAAGGTATGGTTTTCAATTACACCCACATTTTTATTAACATGCTGTAGCTGAATCTTCAGAGTGAGAACATGGTCAGAAAAAAACATTTAAATTTACCAACAGAGGAAATCGAGTGAGATAACCCGGGTTCTTCACGCACGTGGCATTGCTAGCCTATCTTGTTCCTATACGCATGAGAATCGCAAAACATGAGCTAAGAGTTGTTATGCTGACAACCCGTACTCGTGGACATGAGCACAGCATTAGGTATGAAATTATAATAAGATGAAATTAACACAGAATGAAATGAAATAAACATAATATGTGTAAAATTAAGAATGCAAAATTAATATAGACAAAAGGAATGAAAATGTCTAGCTTGCAAGTAGAACAGCATGTTCTTCATCACGAGCAAAACAAACGTCACGAGCAAACACAGCCCTCTGCTCCTGGTTTGTCTGCATTACGAGTTTTTATGTCGCAGAAAAATCGATATTTGAAATGCCAGGATGCAGCGGTTAAACGAAGCTAGCCAGCAAATATTTATATGCATCATGTCAAGCACACATTGTGACCCGCGGCATAAGCAACGCCTCTAAAGCTGTTTTATATCATATACCCGTGCTTGCTTAATACGGCACTTCCACCAGGACTTCTTAGGAAGTATGATTATTTGCAGCATAACAACTCATGATATATATATATATATATATATATATATATATATATATATATATATATATATATATATGAACAAACCAAGTGTCGACACTGCCGCTGGGCCTCCCGGCATCCAGCTCGCGCTCAGCTCACCCAGCTATATTGTGCATCGAGTATGGCCTGGGTGTCGAGTATGGCCAACGAGTGTCTGGTGCCGTGAGTGCCCAAGCCCGGCAGGTAGCTGTCGGGTGTCGTGAGTTGCCAAGCCTGGCGTGTCAATGTCTGGTTAAAGCCTGACAAGTAACGCAGGTAACCGCAGAGCTTTATCTCGGGCGTGCGATCGCACAAGCTGGTGAGGCATTGAAACACTAATACAGTAGGACGGGATGACCTGCTTAATGACATTATTCATTAGTGGGTTATCTGAAACTCATCTATGACTCCGCAGTTTCATCGTACTGCTGTCCTTTGAATGCCTTTCTAGTTGAGCGTCTGGTTGTGTGGGTGTTTTCAAAGGTAGTATGTGACGCATTGTTTCTGTAAATCATTTGCACTCAGATAAGTCGGCGATTTCGCTGGAGTCAAGTATAGTCAATATAATTTATTAAAGGAAGCATTCCAACCAGTGGTTTAGCATTTGTTCCCAATCATATCAGATGGTACAAAAGTAAAACACCTATACAGAAAAAAGGCTGATGAGACAGGTAGCAGAAACAGACTAATGAAGATAAATTCCGACTGTACGGTGTGATATCATTCTGCACGATGCAGTTTGGTAATGAAATCATGCGCTATCCAGAAGCTAGTAATGGCAGGCGGCTTATAATTCCGGGAAGCTGACGGCCTCAGCATGCCTGCCAACGTCGCTCCGGTGGTATTAGGTAAAAGGCTATATAATATCGTATAAAGTTATCAAGAATAGATGGGGGCGGAGTGTATGCAGCGATTAAATATGCATGTGTGGCTTTGTAATGGCGCGCACTGTTGTGAAACAATATGTCTTTTTTTTGCAATTTCACCATTTTTTCTTTATTCCTTCTTAGGAGCTCGCGGGCCTTGCGAGAACAATGGAGGTGGTTCTTAAGCTCTACGATGCCTCGTTTTAATGTATATTTTTTCCGCATTTTGCAAACTTTTGCAAAAATGTCTTAAACCCTCTGACAGTATTGCCAGAGCCTTGGGATACGAACAAAGGTGGCTCTAGGATGCCACCTTGCTTTTTTGGCCATAAGCCGGCATTACGACATTTTGCAACCTATTGCAACGGTTTTTAAAATCCTTCTTTAGAAGCTCCTGTGCCTTAGAAGAACACTGGGGATGGTTCTAGGGGAACAATTTCATTCAACGAAGCTTTGTTTCTTTATGTCGTTTTCATTCAATGAAAATGTAGTACAGTGTAATGTAGTGTAGTAGTGCCCTCATATGTTCATGCAGCCTAGCTGTCTTAAAAAGAAAACTGCACTCGGCGGTGTGTTGCACCCCTGCTCCTTTCATAACCATATACAAGTGTGAAGCTGGCCAATTCCTTGCGAAACACATAGGTACTTCACTGCTCAAGATGGAGGCCGAGGTTGAGATTGGGAACACAATATATAAATAGTGTTGTGTTATGGCAGGATTCCGCAGAGTATTCTAACCCCTGATTCACCCACCTGGCACGAATTACCTTACGATGCCTCTTACTGGGTATGTCGTCTACTCCCTTCCCCGTTATGTCCCCGACTTCAACATTGTTTGACTTTGATGTGACTATAATTCATTACAATTCGTCTGTCTATCCCTTTTGCTGAGCAGCCATTGCTTCCACTAGCCCTTTACCCTAGTGATGTTCATTAAATTCCATGCATTCGTCTCATTTTACCAGACGCTGGATTCATTCGTTGTACCCCTTATCAACTTTGGCAGCCGCAAATTTGCCTCTTTAGTCACTTTTAGTGCACACAGGGTCGGAGTGGAGTACTAGTGCCAAATCAACTGCCAATGTTGGGTCCTTGCAAACCTCGAACGCACGTTTCCAACAATAATTCCTCCTCATCTTGACACGTCAGGCTCTTCGACACAAGAGCCGGATGGAGGTAAACGCTGTCAGGAGATGGGAGACCGGTTGCGGGCATGCCGTGAAGTAAAGGTGCAGCTAAAACTTTGCTTACAGTTGCGTTGTCCAATTGAATAAGTGTGGCTAAACTCACTTTTCCAGAGTGCTTTCAGCCAGGTGTATACATAAGAAATGTGGGAAACCTTCTTTGCGTGGAAAGGGATGAGTGAGTGAGCATGAGAAAGAAACTGACGAGCATGGATATATAGACAGACAGAAAGGGACTAGTATTGACGATATGCGCCGCAGCATACTTGTCGCCTACGACACGGTGCCACAGCACGATGAGGCTGTGTTCGTAGTGGTCAATCAGTTCATCGCATGACGGCTACCTATTCGCAGATTAGGGTGCGAACTAAAACCTACCTTAGTGCAACCTCGAATTTCAGGGACTGAACTGATTACGATGAATTAATCGGTTATGGGAGGAGTCCGTAGAGTACGACGACGGTTGCGAGTCAAAAACAGCAATATGACTATTGTGTGTCACCACCATAGCTCGAGACTCCTAAAGCATAGTACTGTAATGATCCAAGGAAATCAGCCTGGTCGTCATTGGTTGAGGCAATTCTTCTATTACAATAGCTGGTCAATATGGGTGCATTCGTCAAGCGATTGTAGTTAATTCAAGGAAGTGGTGAGCCTACGAATCTCATCAAGATGGTATGAAAAACTGTGTGAGAGTTTGAGGACTGTGAGGATTTGCTGCATCACCAAGACTCGCACTATACTGCGGACCGCGGATGCCCCCTCCCAACGAGCTTAAGCTGATTAAATCATTACATCGGAATTGTTCTAGGTATCGTCCCACCTTATATTACGTCTGGGTAGGTTGAGACCGGTTCAAGACAAGAGTAAAGCACATTCCACACAATTAGAAGTTATGTTAAGTGGTGTGATGAACTATGATAAGGGAAGATGTAGGCCGCTAACAAGGTAATTCAACATGTCCGATAAGAACCGCTGAAGGAAAACTACAAGAACTGCCACTCGGGCTGCTGATCAGGGCCGCGCTTCTCGTGAGCAAGTTGGCCTTAACTCCGGCGCTACGGCTGCCGCGGCGAGCTGCTGGCCTGAACTCCGGCCCTACGGCTGCCGCGGCGAGCTGCTGGCCTGAACTCCGGCGCTACGGCTGCCGCGGCGAGCTGCTGGCTGCCCCGCGGCGGCGGCCGCCTGCACCAGCCGTCATATGGGCTATTTACTCCCCCGTCCCTCCCCGGGCAGCCGGCCGCTCGCCGCAGTGTCACCCCGGGCAGCCGGCCGCTCGCCGCAGTGTCACCCTGGGCAGCCGGCCGCTCGCCGCAGCGTCACCTCGGGCAGCCGGCCGCTCGCCGCAGTGCCACCCCGGGCAGCCGGCCGCTCGCCGCAGTGTCACCCTGGGCAGCCGGCCGCTCGCCGCAGTGTCACCTCG